CTGAAAACAACTTGACAAAACAACCTACATTTCTGTAATCCATATTTGGTCATCTAACAGATAGTGGCGGTATGCAATGATGAAATACTTGTTTGGCATCAACAGTCATGTTTTAGAAAAATAATTGTGTCCTTCCAAGGAAAATGCAGAAATGAAAGGACATTTAGATAAGAAAGTAGTTTCAAATGGGTTTATGGAAAGAAATGCAAATCCAGATAATGACACACACATATTGTTTCCACAAGCCTACATTATTATCCCTTTCATTGGTCCTGCCTTTGCTGTCCATGAGTGAACACCATGTAAACTCGTGCTTATTTGAGCTTTGCCAGTGATACCACTAACGCACTACTTAGTAACGCGTTACTGTAGTCTGACTACTTTTTTCAGTAATGAGTAGCCTAACGCAGTGCTATTTCCAAACCAGTAGTCAGATTAAAGTCACTTATCTAATACACTGTGCATTACTATTTTTGCGTTTCAGGGCGATGTAGGTTATTTATTTATTTATTTTTATTTTTTGGCGATGTGGGTTATGTGACACCAAAGATCGTATAAATCCTCTCTGGTGTTACGTTTCCTGTGATGTTACGTCATCTCCACTCTGCCACGAGTCAGATGTAAACAATGGAGGGAGAGAGGTGCGCCTTTTGCAGCTGGAAATACAAACATTATTTTGATTTTTTTTTTCAGCTAAGGATGGCAACATAAAGGTTCATTGTGCACTCTGTGCTGGCAACAAAGTGTTGTCTGCCTTCAAAAAGGGGGTGGGGTTACTTTATTAGCTGCTGAAAGTAACTAATAAAGTAACTTGTAATCTAACTTTGTTACTTTTAAAAGCAAGTAGTCAGTAACTTAACTAAGTTACTTTTTAAAGTAGTAATCAGTAGTCAGATTACTATCTCAAAGTAACTATGGCAACACTGAGCTTTGCACAATCCAGTCTACGCATCATCAACTCTCCCAATCCAGGCTGCAGCAAATGGCGGTGAAGGGATCCCGTTGTGGATTTCTGCAGAATCAATAAGCAAAGCTTGTAAATGTTAGCTGACCAATGAGCTCCTTCTATTCACAGGCGTAACTGATTGCACAAAAATATTTGGTTCTAGCTTGAGACGCAACGGAGGGCATGGTGACCACACTGACATCATGAGATACAATTCTGGATCTGCCAGGCAACTATTTCTTAACTTAATCACTTCAAATGACCAATCACAGCAAACCACACTCAAAAAGATTTACTTAAAAGCCTTGCGTCAAGCGGCTGCACACAACCACGTTGAGTAATTGTTGTAACGCATGCGTATGGACTTAACATAATTCAACAGGATTATTAGATGGATTAAATATATGCAAGCTGTGTATTTATTTATTTATTTATTGGATCCCCATTAGTCTTTACTGGGGTAAAGACTATTCTTCCTGGGGTCCAAGTTGGCATAATTTACAATACAATGTTCCATTATAATAACAAAAAGTTCACACATAAGTTCATACAGTCCTGTTCCACAGTATACTGCATCACACAACACTACTACAATTATAATATGTCCAATAATTACAATACGTAACTAGTGACTAAATATAATTAGATATAATTTCCAATATATTTCTTTAACATTTTCCTAAAACTTGGTTCATGCTTGTGAACAGTTAAGGTTTGGGGGAGCGTGTTCCAAAGCAATATCGCTCTGTACAGAACAGTTCTTTTGAGAGCATTAGTCCTGGGCAGTGGAAGTATAAAATGTCCATATGAAGCTTGTCTTTTGATAAAACTGTGCCGACCACCTAAGGGCAGTAGTTGTGCAAACAGGCTCAACGGTCTTTGTAAAATGCATACATTAAAAAAAAACAAAATAAGGCTACAGGTAAGTCTGTCCTCAACAGTAAACCAGCATAACCTCTCATGCATGACACTCACGCTGGTCCTAAATGGGCAACGCAGAGCCAGACGAGCCACCCCGTTCTGGATTAGTTGAAGTTTGACAAGATCCTTTTTTGAGGCACCTGACCATATTACAGAGCAGTAGTTTAAATGTGAAAAGACCAGAGACTGAATAACAATCTTAATATTTGAAAAGGGTAAAAAATATGCACAGCATATTATATTTGAGAGAGCTGAACTCATTTTAGTTTTTAATATGAGCAGCCCATGATAAAGTGGACTCAATTTTAACACCCAGTAATTTGGCCTCTTTCGTCTGCTTGATGTCAGCACCTTGCATGGAGAGATTAAGATTATACACAGAGTTTAAAGCACTTTTAGACCTCAGAACCATACATTTAGTTTTTAGAACATTGATTTTTAACTTATTTTCATTAGCTCAATTATGAATCACATCTAGTTCATGCTGAAGAATGATATTTAAATGATCACATGTTTTTGCAGATACATAAGAGTGTGACATCATCAGCAAATGTTATTAAATTGGCCATATTTAAAACATGAGAAATTTCATTAATAAAAATATTATAAAGAAGGGGTCCACGAAAACTTCCCTGTGGAATACCACAAGATAGCATTTTTATATTAGAAAGGGAGCCATTAAATAAGACAGATTGTTGTAGTTCAGCCAGATAACTTGCCATTAAACTTAGTGCAGAGCTACTGAAGCCATATGCGGACAGTTTACTAAGCAACAGTCTGTGATCAATCACATCAAAAGCAGCACTAAAGTCAATGTAGACCACCCCAACCAGCTGCGTTTGGTCTACACATTTTAGCCACTCATCAGAAAGAGTAGCCAGTGCTGTGGCTGTTGAATACCCTGCCTTACAAGCATGCTGGAGATCTGAGTTAAAATCATTGCATGTAAAATAATTCTGTATTTGCTTGAACATGACCTTCTCTACTAATCTTCTTAGAACAGGTAGAACACTAATTGGCTTATTGTTTTGGGCACTGAGTTGCTCTCTTTTTTATAAGTGGTATGACTTTAGCCAGCTTCCACAAATTAGAATAACAGTCACCTTCATGACACAAATTAAAACATTTTAGCAATATGCCGAGCAGAGAGAAAAAGAAGCTTTCCATCCAGATTATCTAATCCAAAAGAGGTGCCACATTTTACAGAGAGAAGTTCTTCCATGTCCTGTAAAGTAATGGCCTTGAATACAAAAGAACAGTTCTTTTTCAACATAATGTGCTTTTTGATGATTGAAATAGATAGAGATAGAAATAGAAATGAAAAAGATCACTCACAGTAGGTGGCATATGGTTTCTTATGTCCACTATTTTGTTGATATAAAAATCATTAAAGTAATTGGTGATATTATTAGGTTTTGTTAAAAACTCTCCATTTACTTCAATAAATGCGGGAGGTGAGCCTGTTGTTCTATTCTTACCAAGAATATTGTTTAAAGTTTTCCACAATCTTTTACTGTCACAACCACACTCCTTTAATCCTTTTATACTCCACCTTACTGAATACAAAATACGTTTTTGTATTGCGTAGTTCCTTGATAATGTATTTCATAATTACTCAACATACTTAAGGAAATTTTAAGAATTTGCCTTCTCAACCCAAATTCAAAGTTATTAAATAACTTAAGTATTAAATACCATTACATAGAACTTACATCACTAGAGTAACTTATAATGAAGAAAGCATTCATATTTACTCAATGCAGTTACATGCAACCTCTTGATGCAACAGTATTAAATATCACAAAATCAAGTCAAGTTTTCCAGAAGTGAACAAATAACAGCATCAGAAATCATTTTAAAACAATTCTGTATTTGTTGTGCAATTTTTAGAACAGTAGTTTTTGAAGCATAAGCAACAATATAAATACATTCAAAGTTAATAATTGGTGATCAAATATTTATTCAAGTGTTATTTTCCAGATTTTAACCATATTGCTAGAGATCTTAATGCAAACACCATGAGTACCATTCAAAGTTAGGGAGGCCCACTCCTCCTGAAGATTTTAATCTATGTAGCGTTGTGGCCTTAATTCGAGGCTTTCTTTTATTCCATAAGAATGTGTTTATGAGAGAGTGTAATTTCTTAAAGTAACCTTGCGGTGGTGCTAAAGGTAGCATGGAGCTCAAAAAATGTATGCGGGGCAATAGATTAATTTTGATTACTGATAAATGAGCCTGAAATGACACTAGAAGAGAGGTACATCTTTTAAGATCTCCATCTATGGTCTGCAACAAGTTTTTATAATTGTTTTCAATCAGGGAGCTGAGAGAGGAATGAATAGACCCCTCAGTATTTTATGCTTTGTACAATTGTTATACTATAAGAGGCTTCATCTAATGTTGTTGATCCCAGAGGCATCAAAGCAGATTCAGCCCAATTCACCCTGTAACCAGAAATATTTCCAAACAGTTCAAATATATTAAGAAGATATGGTATTGATTCTGACGGGTTGCTAGTGTATATTAAAATATCATCCACATACAGGGAGATATAATGGGCTGTATCATGTATTGTAATAGGCTCCATTTTTTCTGATTGCCATACTAATTGCACGATAGGTTCCAAAGATAAACAAAATAAAAGTAGCGATAGGGAGCAGCCCTGGCGTGAAGAACGAGACAAAGTGAACCTGGATGAACACACATTACCGTTACCACAAGTGCAGTAGGATTAGCATATAAGGTTCAAATCATGTTAATAAAACTAGATGGGAAACCCATATGCTGCAGCATCTGATTCCCTTGTGCATTTATGGAGTTTGCAAACAAATTTCTCAAGCTGTTTTTCGGTGTTAGGACATCCAACAACCACACAATTATCAGTCCGAATCCCAAAACTAAAATATGACAATATCAGAGCCAGAAACAAAAGCGATATGGTTCAAAAGACTAGAAAAGATCAGCTTTCTCAATAGACACATCCCACTGGGAAAACAAACATCAGCTCACTTTTTTGGAAAATCCTTCCCAGTATGCATTACACAATGACCAGATGTCCGAAATTCTTTATGCATCTATTCTTGCATTTACTTAAGAGTGTTGTGTAATCCCTTGCCAATAGCCTTGAGTAATGCCAAATATTGGATGTATTTAATAATGTTTACACAAGCAGTGTGAAAAATCATAGTATTTAAATAAAAATAACAAAATACACTTAATAAAAATAACAACAGCCAAAATTCATTTTGTGCATCCCTCTGGACACATCCTTATAGTAAAGATTGTGAGTAATATAAAATCTAGCTTTTCAAAAACAAAACACAAAAAACAAAACAAAAAACAAAAACAAAAAAAACAGATCTTGTTTATTAGATCCCTTGTCTCAGTCAAGCCATTTAGAGAAAGAGAGTAACACTTCTCAGCTACAGGCAAAACTTTATTAGCACTTAAAACAGTCCAGAGGATTTCCAGGAGGAGGGCAAATAAATACTGGAACACAAGTCAAGTAAAGCACTTCTTAGAGCTATAATCCATCTCTGGACCTACTGCTTATGCAGTCACAGAGCTGATTAACCTTCAAGGAACTGAGCAGACCATTATAATGGATGGTCTGCTCCATCAACAGCCAGCACAAATGTAGAAAACTGTAACTTTTTATATCGGATTTTTCCCTTAACTTCTGCCTTAACATTCCATTTGATTCCTACATGCACAGGTGGTTAATGCTAAATCATAATCATCTTGGGAGGGACAGAGGTTCTTCATTCATTGTTGACTGAATTGAGCCAGTCCCATTTTACTAAACCCAACCATGACTCATTTCTGACTCCTTCATCTAAACTATGTTCCTTTTTCTTGGCATTCAAAATACACAAAATGTGAATTTAATAATCATGGAATCTCCCTAGTTGCAGATGGGTGTGACTGTCTATTGTTCACAATACCCCTGTGCTATATTTCAATGAGTCATTTGTTGTTTTTAGACTCATCATGACTTATAAGACTTGTTATACTGGTTGGTCAAGCTGGACACATACTTTATATGCTGCCTGTATTCGTCAGATATGATACTGTCACATTGCTAACTGTGGACAGTGTTGTTTACACATTAGTAGCACAAACTGGGGGACTGCCTCTCTTTGTCACTTTTCTTGGTGTATTTATTAGGTGTTCTTGCTAAAGTACCAGCAATAGTTTAAATCTGTACAATTTTTTGTCTATTCTTGAAAATGTTGCACAGTAGTGTAGAGTCCTAAGCTCCAGTGCACATTTCAGGTTTAGCCTTCAGTCCTGGCTCTAGCAATCTGTCAATCACTCCAGTCCCCCCAGTTTACCTTTTAATCTATAAAATCACATTACAAGTTGGTTATTTAAACATACTGTTAGATACACTGTACCTCAATTTTACTGTCTCAAAAATGTGAAAAACAGAACTATAGTTAATTTTAAATGCTTTGCAGTGTTGTTTTTTTTCACTGACCTTGTGCGTCCAGAGCAACCTAATAGCATGCTACCGCAGACTTCCTTGCACTATAAAACACCTATTAGGCTCATATTACACTGTTTTCTGATTTATGTTATGTTGTTTCCTTTTCAGAAATATACCTTGAGTTGTGTTTTGTTTCATTCAAAATGCTTAATACACAAACTCTGCATATTTAGAGTTCTTCTCTCAAATACAAAACACTTGTGATGTCATATGGTAATGCAGGAATAGCTCTAATGAACTCCATTCACCTTCACTACAATTATGGATAAATGGATAATTTTCAGAACTGGAAATTCATGTCTCAAAAAGGAGCTGTTTACTTGAAAATTGTTACTACATAGTATCACAAAGTGGAATAGAGCCTTTTAAGCTTTGGAGATTTTGGAGACAGACTAATAATACAGAGTGACTCAAGCATGTGTGAATGAAGCAAAACACAACTCCAGGTGTGTTTTTGAGGAGGTAATAACATTATAACATGGCTTAAACCTCACAAGAATCAGTTTAATAGAACCTTTGATAATTAGATTCACAGTCTTTTAAACAGTAACATTTGTAAAATTATTTTCAACAAATATCTGAGCATACTAATTATTCACCGTAATTAGTTCATAAGTTCTTTTCACAACTTGCAGAGACCAAAGCATAGTTTGTATTGCCAGTAAAGCTAACAACTAGGATACTAATACACACTTCTTGATATGTGAACAAGAAAACGTTTAATCATTAGTTAAAGACAAAGTTAGGACTTTTAATATAGCTTATTTAAATACTTGATTTATACGGTTTTCATGTGCACATCTCTAGCAAACTAAGCTAAATGGTAAAAGTCAGAGGAGAACCGTCAGGGCCTTCGCCTTCCTGTAGCAAAGGCCCTGTGCAATACAAGTAAATTTGGGATTGAATTTGAAATTGACAGCTGTCTTAGCCAATCGTAATTCATTGAGGGGTGTGATGTGTGTGATGGGGTGATCATATCACCCCATCTTCTGGGCCTTCGCGAATACCCTGTGATAGCAAATATAAGCCAGACCGCAGCATCAAAAAATGCACTATTTGGATGCCTCGGAGATGTCAGAAAGAAGGAGAAGAGGAGGAGAAGAGGCTAATAATTTTGATGGAACACAATAAAGCCACAGTTGAATAATGATTAAGTGCTGAACAATCCAAAATGGAAAGGCTTTCACAAGGTGTACACACTTTCAAACTGAAACAGTTTAGTAACACCTTTCAGTTGTAAAAACTGAAATGTAAAAACAACCCCTGAACATGACAGAGTGAATTAAAAAGTTTTCAGTATGTCCTTCAAATGTTCAGACGTACGGTGCTCCACTTTTTAAAAGCCTCTGTAAAACACAAGCTTTCCTCGTCTCGCCAGTTCCTCAATTAAGTTAAGTTCAAGAGAACCAGGATGAGGTCCAGTTCTCAAGTGCTTATCATACAGTGGTTCCCAGTAATGGCTCCAGTTCCCATCGCTGTCAGCTCCAAACCCAAAGACACTCACCTGTAAAGCAATGGAAAAGGCTGGTTTCATTCATACATAAAACTTATATAAAAACTGCACTATATAACTTTTCTGCTTCTCAACAGGGAGATATCATAGATTTGCCTCGAATGTGCCACAGTATGACATCAAGTGTGTCCATTGTTGTAATTTATTCAATTACAGGTGCTTTTAAGACTATGATGACTATGATACTGGGGCAGTAGATGTTATCTGTGATCCCCTCTAAGTGGGAGGGGTTGGTCTATTTCTCTTTCCACATATTTAATAAATCCTAAAATGTAACATATATGTGGACTAAAGCAGGTTGATCTTGACAGTAAATAAGTTCAATATGGATTATAAAGGTGTTTTAAAGCCCTCTAGAAGCAGTGCAGAGTGACTTGTTGGTGCGCATGAATATTGAATATTTTACACAAATTCTTCATTGACATGAATGGGAGTTTAACCAGAAGTGCCACCACAAAAAAGGTTTAGGAGCATTTAGAGACAAAAGTGGGCAGGGTGGATAATAAGAACTGAATACAACTCTCTGTCATACGAGATCGACTAGTGGCCAATTTATAGGTTTTGCAGCTCCTGGGAGGATGCATTTTTTTGTAAAATCAACTGCCCATGTTTGGCTGACAGGGCATTTACAGCTTTCATAAAGGCTGGACTTTGTAGGGATCTGTGTTTTTATAATATGAACTTAGACAATGAGTACACGAGTATTCAAGAAGTAATGCGGGAAAAAAACTATAACTTTTTGGCACTTCTCGCCAGTGAGCATAGGACATTGAAAACAACACAACATCATTTTGAGATTATCTTCCAGATTTTATTATCTTATTACTTCCATGGGGCAGACAGATGGAAGCAAGGCTGCCAACCTACTTCTTCCTGTGAGTTTTCGGCAGGCTGGGTGCCTCCAGGCATATTGCTGCCTTTCACAGATTGCTTTTGGCTCTGCATTACGAAAGATCGGCTCAAATTCTTAGATGGAGATTAGTTTCATAAATGCTTTCCAAAATTTGCACAGTGACTTTGTCTCTATGATTGTCTGGACCACTTGTTATTTTTATAATCAAAGCCAGGTCAGAAGCCAGGCCACAATGATGCAGGATCAGTCTTGTATAAATGACTTGCTCTGCTCTGCTTCTTCCTACTGAATGATAGTGTCTGCCTCTCTTTTCTGTGTCCCACTCTTTCCGCCACTGATGTCATTTACGACACTGCAGTACTCAGCAAACCCTATTCCTGTCTTAAAAATGACAAATATTACTTTAGAGTCTGTCTGTCAATTGAGTCTGCATCCTCTAGCCACTCCAACATGGACAGGGACACACATAAACACTAAAGACAATCCTATCATATCAGCTCTTTTGAGTGCAATACAGATTTCAAAGACCAGGTCGGTCTGAACACGTGATACTCCAACCTGCAGCTCTATTAGAGCAGCAGCTGAATCAGAACAAAGCCTGCTGAGGCTGATTTTGCCCACCTATGCTAATGTACACAGAAAAGCTATAACTTCAGTGGTAAATACTAGTACAGACACATTATCTGGAAGCCATATCTTATCAAAGGGCCGACTGCAGTTGGCCAGGGTCTTACCTCATCACAAATGTGCAAGGCCAGAATCACAGTCATGAAGCCAGTGGATGAATATTGTCCTTTACCTTGGAGCCATGATAAATGGATATATCGCATAAAGGCTGGGTTAGCCATCAACACCTGTTTAAATAAAAGAATTAGCCAAAGACACTAGTCTGCCAATGAAAATAGAAAACTGTACTTACCAAGTCTTTACGTTTTATTGGATTATTAACCCTGAGGGAAGAAAGTGCCACATTAATATCACAAAAAGCTTGAATATTATGGAAGAATCATATTTTTAGAAAGCAGTCAGTTACCTTACAGTGCCTGGTGTGACCCAATAGGCAAGCCAATTCAGATCCTTCAATTTGAATGGGAAAAAAACCAGATGTGTTGTGTTGTCCAACCTCGCACCCATACTCTCTGGGTAGATAACGCGGTGGGTTGTCTTGGTCCCTACATCCTTCTCAAAGCCGTTAGTCATACCAAGGTTAATTCTGTGTGGTTCAGTTTGAAGTTAATAGTTATATTTTAGAGGTATTTCTGCTAAATCCAAATGTGTTGAGCTTACCTAAATACACTCTCATGTTGATCTATTAACTTTCCATAATGACTTCTTTTCAGGTTTACTGAGTTGCCCACCACAGCACATGTTCGACAGTGATCTGGGTTGGTTTCAGCAACAGGAGGATGTGCAGGAATGCCCTCAAAGATTTTCTGTGTTGTTTCACTGAAAAGTTTTAGGTCAAAGTTCTTTGGATTAGCCTGCAGTTTCTGTCAGATAAAAAAAAAACATATCAGAAAAACAGATCTGACTTGACCATCTGCATATACCTCAAATTTAAGGTGGAATTTTTAACTTTTCTGACTTTTCTACTGGACAGTGCATCACCTGCTTGTTTCCATGCAGACAATATGGCTAGGCTAGTCTTTCTCTTCTGGCGCACGGCGAGGGCAGACACATTTTTCTTATCTTCCCTGCTTTGCCTCTTTGTCTCATCTAGTCTAGTGTCTTATACTTTTGAGAGACTCTCTCTGCTCTGCTCTTCCAAACCTATATTAATAATGGATTTGATCAACTGGTCTCTCAATGCAATTGACACCATCTTTTCAACAAGGACGAGCGGGTTACAGGATGGACGGTAAGGAGAAGTCGTGTGTCTGGGGCTCTTTCTGTGGAGGATATAGAAGACATTTACCTATTTGGACCTATGATCACAGGACTTTTGCTGATTCGATTAAGCATGGCCCTGATTTTTCGTAAAAATGATTAATATGGGGGGCAGAGCTTCCAGTGCTCAGACTGCCACTATGAACCGAGTTACAGAGATGGTTTCCATTTTGGAAAACAGAAGAGGAATGCCTGCTCTCCCTCCTTCCTTGATCCCCTGTATCTCATCTGCATCCAGTCTTTGCCTATAGATGACTGCGAATACTTTGGTTTGCATTTGACCCTTTGGAGCACTATATTGTCATAACATGATTGGTTTATAGTAGGCTCATAATGAAAGTGGCAACTGACCAAACTATTTCAGGTTACATATTACATGACCAGTACTGAAAAAGCAGCTTGGATGAGCTGTGAATTTTTTTTCGATCAAAAAGCTTTTGTCCAGCTGACAGAATTGTCAACACAGAATTTGATGTTATCTATTACATAATTTTGGTTAAGAAAATTCAGAATTAGATGTTGAATTATGTACTAAGTTGTTCAGTTTGTCAACTCAGTCACACTTTCAACATTTAACTTTAAATATGTTTAAGCTGTATTAATATTTATAGACAGCAGTTATATACGAGTCACTCTGGGTGGGATGGTGGTGGCAAAACAACCCCAGAAAAGTTACAGAGTGCATCGTTACCTTTAATAATCTGTCATTATTGTTTACACTCTAATTACATAAGTTCATTAATATACACTGTCCCTATCAAATAAATAACTAAATAATAAACATGCTGGACTGTACGTATAGGAGTATATAAATTGATATAATGTAGCTTCCCTTCATACCATTGGTGCTTGCAGTTTTACTTTACCATTGGCATGTGTTATGTAAAACATACATTATTTTATCACTTTATTATATTTCAGTATTTAAGATTCTTTAAACCTCTGACACAAACCAGTTTTTAAATACACTATCATTACTACATAACTGGAATGCAACAAACAACCAGTAATTAGCAACAGAAGTTATTTATGTCAGCCCTCTATAGCTCAAATCTGACCTTATTACATAAAAATGCCAAAAGGTTCCCTACTATCGTGAAATTAAAAATGTACACACAATTACATACTGGGCCCCAAAATATATTGTTCCATATATCTTTCATCTATGTTGAAATTATATAGTTTTATATAGTAATTATCATGGCGGGCCTACATATAGGTCCCATATATGTGTTCTGATCATGAAAATAGCCTTACCGTCCACCAGGAAAATGCCTCTTGTGACACATTATAATTCCTACTTAAGAAAGGTGGAATAGATTTCTGGAAATGCCGCAGAAACCATTGTTCATCTTGCTGATTCACAATACGTTTCTCACAGTCAATTTCTTTATATTTTTCCATAAAATTTAAACCCCAGGATGTCATGTCTGGCATTTCCCATAAGTTATAGATGCCACAGATGCCACAGATGCCTAGGAGCACCACAAATACGATCCCTTTTACAGACGTATTCATTGAGATGCTTGTTTGTTCGAGTTGTGTTCACACTTGTTCTTGTTTGGTCTTGGCTTTAGCCCTCTTTCCTGATGTAGACTGGGTTTGGTCCTGTTCAGGTCCTAGTTTAGTCCTGGTCTAGTGCCAGGATTAGTCTCTCTTTGGTCCCATTTTGATGCAGTGTTTTTATAAGTAAACACACATTTAAATGCAATCTGTAGAAACAAAAACATGTCAAATACAGTGCTTCATATTTTAGCTGTTAGATTGATTATGTATCTAAAACTGTATGTAAAACTGTAAAGAATGAATTTCCTACCTGATTGAGATGATGTGTCATTTGTCAAACCCTGTAGAAAATAAGCACCGGAGAGAAGTGTTTGTAATATCTGGCACATGCAAATAGGGGCATTTTTGTTTCCTGTAACTAAAACATTGTTACCATGAATGGCTATATATATATATCTATCTATATCTATCTATATATATACTATATATATATATATATATATATATATATATATATATATATATATATATATATATATATATATATAAGCTTAGGTTTGCATCATCGAACATCACGGAATTTTAAATTTTTCAAAACTAGATTTGACTGATGTACAAAAATGTTTAAAAAGAAAGAAAGGATAAATTATTTTTTTTTAAAAGAAAGTAAAACAGATATAAATCTGACCTATTTTTCAGTTTTGGCATAATTCAATAAACCAGACAATGACTGATTTAACAAAACAATTCTCTTAAACACTTATAAATCCATTCAAGATATACATTTTTTTTTTGTACAAAGTTACAAAGATCTTGTTAGTGTAAAAACAAGATCTTTGTAACTTTTTAAAACTGCTTTGTATTTCTGTTTTTTAAAACAGAATTATGTAACTAGAGATTTTATTATCTAAAATAATAAACTCAACAAAAGTATTCTGACATTATCTTCTGATAAACAGACTACAGTAGTACCCCTCTCTTTACATTGATTTGGCTAACACATCTCTGTGAATGCTTAGCACACTTGTAAACACACAATAGTGGATTTAGATAATGTTTAATAATATATAGACAGTGTTGGGGAGTAACGGATTACATGTACCGCCGTTACGTAATCAGAGTACAAATTATGAGTAACTGTATTCCGTTACAGTTACTGCTTCAATGAGTGGTAATTGGATTACAGTTACTTTGCTGAAATAAGTGGATTACAAGGCGGTATTTTCCTGTTTTCACATTTTGTGCTACATCCCATTTATTTATTTTTTTATTTCGGTAATTCCACTCATTGCCGGAAACCCAAACAGAACGCGCGCAATAAAAGCGATAGAAACGTCATGTTAAAGTTGGCGGTGTCAGTCACACAGTGGAAGCAGCAGTGCATTGGTAAAAACGCATTTGTGTCTTGGAAATTCTTCTCCCGATGATTGGCACTGGTGAAAACAACCTGCATAGACTCATAATATCCGCACTACTGTCATATACACAAACACACACACAAACACACACAAACACACACAAACACACACCTTCATCATCGTCATCAACCTGAGAACCCGCGGACCACGTCTCCTTCCGTAGTTACAGCGCGGACACCGCCGTCTCGTGCGCCGCGTGTGGACCGTGTTTTCTCGCGTAAATCGCGCTTCCCCCTGTGCGCCTCTAAACCAGAACTAACACCAGGACTAAACCAGAACTAATCCAGGACTAAACCAGGACTAATCCAGGACTAAACCAGAACTGAACCAGGTTTAAACTAGGACTAAACCACGACTAAACCAGAACTAAAGACCTGATCTAGACCTGGTCTAAACCAGGTCTAAAATCAGGAGTAAACCAGGTCTAAAAATCAGGACTAAACCAGGACTAAACCAGGTCTAAACAACATGACACCTAACAGTAGGTTGACATAATTTAAGGTGATCTCATATAAATAATTTCTCTATCAATAATATTTTTAATCTGGTGAAGGAAAAGTTTATCTTGTTACTGTCTTTTAACAGACAAAACCTCTTATATTAAGATATCCTGGTCTTTGTTTCTCTACAGCAAACAGCTGCTTATTCATAGAGACTTGGGCTCAGACAATTTGAAGACAACAAACAAGAATTTTCAGAATGTGGTTGCTACATTCATGTCGATTAAAACATGACAATATCAAGTAATCCAAAGTAATCAGATTACGTTACTCACTTTAAGTAATTTAATGGATTACGTTACAAACTACATTTTGGGATGTGTAATCTGTAATCTGTAGAGGATTACATTTTAAAAGTAACCTTCCCAACACTGTATATAGATAATTGTTTTTTTGAAATTCAATCATGGACTCTATTATAGTGTAAAGTGGACAATTCAATAGAACTGGAACAATAAAAGTGACAACAATAGTAAATAGCAGTAATCATAATAATAAAAGCATAATAATATGATGCACTCACCAGTAATGACTTAATTAGGATGTTACAGAGATTGTAGACAAGACTCCTACACCTGTGCTCCCTTGTTTAGTGAGTGATGTTGGGCGTGTAGTGTCGTGTATTATGCCTAACACACTTGGGCGTGGACAGAATAAATATTCTGGTACAGGCTCCATGATACATATCCAGATATTCATGCCATGGTACAATACATGTCCAGACACTTATGGATATCCCTTAAAACTGGTGTTTAAAAGTTTACAAAAAATTATGTTTTCATTATGTAAAATAACAAAAAACACAAAATCCCAATGCCCTCGATATTAGAATACAACTGTTTTGACAGACACACAGACACACAGACACAGATGGACAGATGGACTAGGGGTGTCAAATTATCGCGTTAATTGCGATTAATTAATTACAGTCATATTTAGCGCGTTATGTTTTTTAATCGCGTAAATCTTATTTTTAATCTCTAACTTTACTGTTTCTGTATGCGAGTTGCTTTATTATAAAACCAGGAAGACTTGAGAGGGAGTAGCCCCAGCCAAAACAAAACAGAAAGTGCTACCACGTAATCACAACAAAATAACTTAAAAACCCAAATTGCAGACTAAAAGGTATGGGCTAAACCCGTCCCAAGTATGACCCGAGAAGTGAAACCAAACTAAAGCTAAGGGACGGCAACCATTAAAACCAAATTTATTTATGGTGCAGTAGAGCTAAAAGGTTAAAAAGTATATATGGTCACTTTAAAATGAAACAAAACAAAACACAACAACAAAAACAGTAGCAGACCCTAGGTTAAAAACATCACCTGTCCTACCTCAAAATCTCAAATACACAGGGGGAAAGGTCTGCCACCGGTTTACTTTGGCTCTAAAAATACAATAAAAACCCATTAAAACCAGTTTAAAAGAGCAAAATTAAGAGCGTTCAAGTCTTACCTGCCACCAGCCAGCAGAAGCCGGGACTGAGGCATTGCTGCTTGGCCTATTTAAGCCCGACTTCTGCTGGCACAGGAAGATGGCATCAGGTGATTAAAATGTAAGGGTGCCCCTTGCTGTGCGCCACACCTAGTTATGGTCAAAATAGAAGTATTGAGCTTTGGGTCTTGTTGATTGGTTGAAGGTAGCATAAGGTTGAGGGTTGGGGTTAGTGACTAAGTGAAGCTGCTCACACATGACACATCATTGCTGCATATTAATTGACCTAACCGCAGCATGTAGAGATTGAACAAAAGGGGACCCAGGTTCAACTCCTGGACCCCACAGGTCAGGGCCATGTGATCTGAGACACAGTTTCCAATTTCAACAAAATACTTCCTGTCTTCTAGATAGGACCAGTTAAATGTAGTACCAAAGATGTCCACCCAGTCTTCTAATCTTTGTTAGAGGATCCCACGATCGACAGCGTCAAAAGCAGCACTCAGATCTAACAGGATCAAGACTGAGACTTTGCCTGCATCACTGTTCAAGCAGATGACATCACCTTGATAAGAGCAGTTTCAGTGCTGTGGTGGGCTCCAAAACCTGACTGGAAAACATCAAAGAAGTTGTTCATTTGGAGAAAGTTAGTCAGCGGTTGGTAAACAGTTTTTTCAAGGACTTTGACAAAAAAACGGCAGATTTGAGATGGATTGGAAATTGTTCAGTACTGTGACATTAAGGCTGCTCTTCTTTAGGAGAGGCTTAATGACCACAGTTTTCAAAGCAGTTTAACTCTACCAATGGCTTTCTCAGGTCATGATTATAAACTGAATGTTGCTGCCCAACCCATACATCTTAAGGAACTCTTCTGCAGGGTCCACCCTCACCTTTGACTTCTGGTTGTCAAGACAAATAGAACTGGTAGCAATATTTTTGGTGCCCATCATGTACAACTAAATCAGCAGCCTTCAATTTATATATTACCACTGGCAAATATGATTATTACATATACGGTAAGATAAAAGTAAATGAATGTCACCTTAACTTTCTTTGGCTCAGTCTCAGTATCAGTGGAATCATCTGATTCATCCCTATATTTTGAGGGGAGGCACCGATACCCTTTTGGTCATCTTTGGCCTTTCTTTGACCTTTTCCAGCAGAGAGTTAATTTTACATGTGTTTTCAAAGCTGCTACCGAGAGAATAAAGAGAGAGAGCATACACCATAGTTAATTTCAAACAGCTAACTACTTTAGTCTATCCCAATTATTGTTTATAGAGAAAAAAAATATTGTTTATGATTCACTGCCAAACAATGTCTTTGCAATGAGTGTTAATTAGGCTAGTTTAAATAAGACAATTCATAACAAACATACCACTAACAAAAAAAACACATGTCCTTTATAGTAAAACTACTCTCCCTTGGGCTTCTTTCTATGGTGCCACTCAGTAAAGGCTAAGTAGGGGTAGTGTGGATTTCTATCCTGATCCATTTTGGAATCATCATAATTCCTTATGGCATCAGTTTTCACATCACGTAACTTCCCTGAATCCTCCCCTTCAGTCCACTGTGTCACAGCAAACTTTTCTCCATATTCTTAAAAGATTAAAAATAAATGTATTCACTGTTTAGCAATCAGCATCAGGCATAAATGTGAGAAAGTCAGGCACCAATCTTCTGTTGAGAAACATTTAAAATATTAATTTTAAGATACATTGCAACAGTTTATCGGCTCCCTGCTAGAACTGTAGAACTACCAGCTAACTTTCTGTGAGTTCAGCCTTCCTACCCAAGCACCCGAACAAATTATAGCTTGTGCTATTGTTAGCATGAAAATAGTTTATCACTGTGTGATAACATAGCTATAAGCTATGATGCTAAATTAACATTCATGAGTGGGATACGTCTTAATGACACATCTGTGTTAAATGCAGGTGAGTGCGTAAATGACGAAAAGAAATGGCTCAAACTTCAGTAGCCGGACAAACATTCATACCTGATCAATACAACTAGC